CCGACATATGCTGTAATCGGTGGGGATATTTCGACTGTTTCCACAATTAACTCTTCCGAGCATCAAAATTCGGAAAAGTTGAACGAGCATTCAAAGGAATCTTCCACGGAAAAAGCTCCGCCTCCATTACCACAGAAAAACGATACCTTAGGCCCCTAGCCTCATGAGCATAGCAAAAAGAACGGAACATAAGCGTTAGTTTCGATAATACTAATCCTACACACAAGACAAAATGATCACTCTTTCCGTGGAAGATTCCTTTAAGGTATCGTTTTCTGTGGTAATGAGGGCGGAGCTTTTTCCGTGGAAGATTCCTTTAAGCATCACTGGTATGAATAGAGCACACTTTCTGCAGCGGTCGCAAAAGTTTTTCAAGGATTCGACCACCATCACGGTGACTGTGTAAAAATTTGGCTACGCTATTTATCTATCTACATGTATGTATGTGGCTGCTCAGTAACTTCCCCTCCCCTTGCTCTTGTGATAACTTTCACATCACAAAATGCAGCCAAAAGTAGCAGTCAGCAAAACACATAAAATCAAAGTTTTTGGAACAATATCGATGAAATGTATGTCATATTTACTGTGCCGATTATATTCTGAAGTTTGACGTCGAGTTAGGAAGGTTGGGCTTATCTAGGAGCAGTGAAAACGTTCTCCAAAGGGGAATCAATAGCTCGCTTGCACCAGAAAGGAACAATATGTGGGACACGTCCAGTAAAAAAATACTGTAAGAAGCGCTTTCCCAGAGTTCGTGGAGGCCTGTCAACAGGAAAAAAGTAAGGGTGTGAATTTTGTGTTGGCAAAAAAAGAGAAGCAAGAAAACCGTTTCGGCGAATACTTTTGACTGACTGTTACTGTAGAGAGCCCACTTCTGTGTACCGCCAAAGTCACCCAACTTTGATGGCTGGTGGCTTAAAACGTTTGGGTAAAAACGTACAAGCAATCGAATAGAACAATAGGGTAGCAGGCGTAAGGAACTAGCAGGAAAACAGTCATTATAAGGTATTCCGTTGTTAGCAAGGTTCTTGTCGTTTTGGACAGTTCGAGCTCCGAGGCATTGTTTCTGACTATTTTGCTAGGAAGCACAATTTTCGGTTGATCTGGTAGTGCTGACAGTTTTGCTCAAGAACTACTGTTCCCATTTTTTTGGAGCTTTGAATACAGCATGTTCAACAAGTCCATCCGACGATATTTTCTTGTTTATGTTTATGTTTATTAGGTCCACTGAAGGCAAACGTTAGAAACGATGCATTACCTAATAAGTAAAAAAATCGAATAACACAACAATAAGCCTAAATCGAACGCGAAACTTCTACAAGAACAGATAAAATCCATAAATGTTAGGCACCACTCAAAACTCATGTAATCAGTCTCATAAGACGCTAGATTACTTCAATCTCAGCAAGATTTTTCTACCCTATGCTTGAATCGAGCTAGCGATAAGTCATATGGCATACCGCTACCTGGCTGCAAGTAACGACTACCCCCTCTAACAGTAAAGTTCCTAGCACACAGGTTAGTTTTGCCAAATCATTTATTTTCCTTGTAACACGAACTACGGCAAAAATATCCTAATCAGCTTATAATATAATTATTTGTTAGGACTGGCATTCTAAGAAGGTGTGCCGTGAAATGATTGATTGTAAAGCTTGTGTAGGGATAGCGAGATCCTCGAAGGAGGTTAGGGAGGTTGTCGGATAATGAAGTTGGTAAAAATTGGCTAGAACTTTTGAAAAGAAGCCCAAAGTGTTCAGAAGTGTTGGCTAGAAGCTGCTTCTGTGTTAGGCTACTCAGTAGTCATAAGGGTCGAGAGAATTGGAAAAAAGGGTCATATTAACGGACAGGGTGGGGCAGGGGGTCGTATTGGTCAAATTTTCCTCTACACATGGTTCACCCCGTGGAGACTTACTGTGTTTCCCTTGAGAATTTTTTAAAATAATTTAAATTTTTTGGAGAATGAGCTCTTCAGAGATGATCGGAAACTAATGAATTTCAGATAGATCCACAACGGTCATTCAAGCATTTGAGAGCTGTTGTTGATATAAAAATTAACACGTTGACGACATTGTGCAGCGCATGCGCATCACACCTTGAGCACCGTGTGGGACCGTGTGCAGCGCATGCGCTGCACACACAAAATATTTATTTTTTCGCGCATGCGCTACTTCTTTTCTAATTTTTTGCATCTATTCCATAGACTACACCATAATATGACTAGACACGGCGAGGTTCATTGAATGGTTGAATATGCTCCTTTTTAGCGAAGGTTTTCTAAGCCCTACGAATTTCCCAATTGTGTTCATTCCTAGTTTCCTTTATATTCTGATAATCTTGGTCATAAAAAAGAGCAGTAGAAGTAAGTACAGACCCACACATATAGCAAGACATATGTTTTTAGTGGAGCAACCGCGTCAAAAATAATTTTGAGGTTCACTGCAGCAAAAGCAACTGAAACTTGCCTTTTCATCGCCAGAAAACGTCAATTCGATCGATTTTTTACAGTTGTCCCTTCTGATAAGTTTGACACATCGAATATCATTCTAAACATTTTGTTGCATCCGAGTTTTGGGTATTTAAAGCTCAAAATTCACGGATTTGATGTGAGGCGGCGGCGCCTGCAAAATCGCCGTGGTCCCACGCGGTGCAAAAACCCAAAACGCGCGTTGTCGTCAACGTGTTAATGCCATTGTATCTCTAGTTTGTACGCATGATGACCTACTATGATATTTCTGTTAATAATACCTAATAACTTGCGAGGGAAGCGGCCTACAGTTCTGATCAACTGAAGATCCACAGTAGATTGAGTTAAGGATCTAGGCGTTCTTGTATATTCGCTTAGATTGATGTCAAGTTAATCTTCACACTTTATAGCTTTATACATGTTGATGGTGAATTAGAGTGAATATTTCTGAAGAACAATGTTTCGAAGGAGAGAAGCAGTTTCATGCTCAGCGCACCTTTCCTACGACCACTGCGCTCATCTTTGCTTTAAACGAAGTGATCAAATCAACCGGAGGTACATAAAACTGTGAGTATTTGAATGAGGATTCACGATAAGGTAGAAGGACGAAGAAGGGGAAGCTCGCCTATGGAAAAAGAGGAGGACCCCCAAGGATGCGAATCGGCGCGCGATTGCCCCGTGATCTAGCATAGCACACGACGCTATCGCCGTAGCACGCCCGCCGACTGGTCATAACCGCAGGCTTCTAGCCGTTTAGCACAGAAATTTAGACGTTTGCATTGAAAAGGGCAGCTCGATGTGAGTCGCATTGATACGGAAATCAACGGGCAAGAAAGGGTCGCATTTCCCAGGTTCCTCGCCGTTTCCCAATTTTTCTCCATCCTTTGCACAAACCTCTCCCTTAGTTCACGTCAACTGTCTTTTCATCGTAAAATCCTTCCTTTTCGTTCCTCGAGTGCTAGGCTAGAGTGTTTCTTATGTTTTTCTTCATCCCAGAGCCTCTGATCATCTCTACTTATGATGAACTGCCTTCTGGAAGTAAACTCTGCCTTCGATTCAACAGGTCGGTTCTTAGCCGAGAGACAGCACTACAAGTGCAGAGCCCCCTCGTCCCATTCATCTCCACAAAAGCTATCGCGCAGGGTTCCCTGAATAAGTGACGATACTCAGATGTAAATATATTTTATGGCTGCATAAGACAGATCAAGTCTCTGCTATTCTGTTATTGCGGCCGGCTCGTTGCCTGTGAGGTTCCTCCGTTTTTTGACTTGGTTACTAGATCCTCTGTCATACCTTGTCTTAGAAATCAGAACTGTGAAGTTCTAATACACTAGTCATTCAGCTGTCGAAAACATAACGGAAGCAACTTTATACAGGAAACCAGTATTACGCGTCGTCAATATTTATAAAAACCCTCTCTGGTCTTTCGGCCGAGTTTTCCTTCGTGGACGAGTCGATCCAGAAGAGGAATTGGAGCGAAACGTGTATCATCCGGCATTGATTCTCGCCACACTGAAAAATTAGGCACCTGTGATCTGATTGCGAAAATCAGAGAAAATCAAGAGCGAGTACTTGAATTAGATTAATGGGCCCTACACGTAATCTTACGAAACATTTTAGTAATAATTCCATACAGTGAATTTTGGATATCTGTAAGTATTTGTATGATTAACGGCGATTTCCCAACATTTGGCTAAATCCCGAAATTGATCGTTCATCACCATGTTCTTACACTTATCGACTATCTGTGGTTTTTTTTTTGCAGAAAGATGGGAAAATAAGAAGCAGGAAAAAGCAATCAGAAGATGAGTAGAGTTCAAAAGCATGGCGTATACCAAAGGTGTTTAGGCACGCCCAGAACATTTTTATTGCAAGCACTCTATCTTACCTGTCATCACGTTGGAGAGCGTATCAAGGCCAACATAGTCGCATAATGTCAACGGACCCATTGGACAAGACGTGCCATAACGGAGCGCTAAATCAAAAACCATTTAAGTTCCGCAGCTTTACAGGGATATTGGTGATATTTGTTTTTTGATTACCATAAAGGACTGCTAATATTGCCATCGGTGTGACTCTAAGACCACTTACCGGCGTCGATGTCCTCTTTGGTGGCGTCTCCTCGTTCCAGCATCCGAATGCTGTCGAGCAAATAAGGAACCAGAAGACGATTCACGATGAAACCTGGTGTGTCCTGGAAAGATTGTTCTCAGGACGTTTTTGTTTGCACTCTCGGGCTCCCCCACTTTCTTCACGATTTGGGGCGCGGCCGCGGCGAGCGCGGACGAGTCGATAGTGCCCGCGAACTGTGCGGGTAAATTTGAAAACGCATCCACCACCACAGTTCGCGGGCACTATCAACTCGTCCGCGCTCGCCGCGGCCGCGCCCCAAATCGTGAAGAAAGTGGGGGAGCCGCACTCTCGCGATTTTTTAGCTTTTTTTGTATACTCTTTCTGTCGCCTGTTTGGTGGCCTCGCGCTCTTGTACCATCTCCACCCTTTGCCAGAAACATTAGAGAGTTCCATTTTACTACCATGTATAAGGATTATTTTGTCCCACCCCTCCTACTCGAATTCCAGATATGATATTTTTCTTCAAATTCGGTTTGCTAGTACACTAGTCCTGAAAGAAATGTGAAAATAGTGTAGGACTATAGATTTGCACTAGCACGCGGAGATGTCACGGTTCGAAAATGCGCGACAATGGTGCTACGGCCTCACAAGTGAGCTAATGACGGTTGATATGAGTTAATGGACGAGACACCGCGCGCATACCCCATGATACGACGTGGATTACGACGTAGGAGCTAATTCAATATACGCTTGGGTCACATTAGCCATGGAGCAGCAAGTTCAGATAACTCGTCCAGACACGCCCCCCCTCAGTAAGGGGAAGGAAAGGGAGCACTCGTGCAAGGGTTTCGACGGTGATTTGGCTTTCCTTCTTTCTTGTTTTCGGTCAACTCCGCATCCACACCATTCATTACTGGAAGCTGTCACCCCACCAATTTGGTCTGAGGCTGTTGCTTCAAACGCAGCTATTTCGATCATTGGGTCCCTTCATGAAAAGGGGAAATGAGGTAATTGCTAACAAACCTTGCATGAGACAGGTTGCTTCCCCAATGATTTGCAGAAATCGACAAGCTTCTGGTGAGTTTCGTTCGAAGTCTCCGGTGTGCTGACCACTTCCACCAATTTCATCACGGGTACGGGATTGAAGAAGTGCAAGCCAGCGAAACGAGTATGATCACGCATCGATGGCAGCAGGTCGACCAAAGCGAATAGACGACGTGTTTGTGATTAGGAGAGCGTTACTGTAATGAAAACCTATGAAATGAACAGGGCACTGTTCGCTACAAGAGTGCTATGACCTGTAGGTGTCACTGAACGACGTTAGATCTATTGCACGACTGTACCCTCACTACTGAGTTGCCCTCAAAAGTACAAACCAGGATTGGTTTAGATAGACATCTTTTGGTGTGGAAAGAGCTACGCAAAAAGGAAACAGATGACTCTTTTTTTCGACTCCAAGAAGCGCTAAAGCCCCTTACAAAAAGCGCTCAAACCGCTTCTATTTCTTCTCGTCCTCACCATGGCGTTATCGGGCTCTCTCCCATCCGCTGTACTCTCTCGCTCATCCTCTATCCACCGTGCTCAGTCTATCATTGCCCCATCAAGCCTAACCAAATAACTGATAAAACCCTTGGTTCTTGTCGGATTCTCTTCCTTTCTATTTGACTGCCAATCCCCTTCAACCCAGTGCTCCATTTTCTTGTGCTGGAACCACACCGCTTTGGTCACGGGCGTACCTTCAACTCAAATCTCTGAACAAACTTACGATGGGCAATGGTTTTGAGCCTCCGCGAAGACTGCTTCCTTGGCTTCCTTCTTCTCTACAATCGCTTCAATAATGTAGATGGCGTTGGCCACAGCACTCCGAATGTCCGCGCAGAGCGTTAGCTGTCTCATCTGGATGTCGACAGATTGTTCCACCGTGTCCTTGAAAATGATTCCTTCAAAACAATAGGGAGACCTTTTCTCAAAGAACAACAACTAGTGGTGGTGTAGAGGTTACATCCACGAGAAACTCCTAAAGTAGCTCTTTTCCCTTCAAGATTATCTCGCGATAAAATGTAAAATATTGAGGTTCGAAGGCTGCGGCCATGATAAGATGCATTGGTCCCTACACTTTGTAAATTGGTGGCTTGTTGTTTCGGGCAAGGCCGGCTTTGCCATTCAAAGCATCACCCCAGCAGAAGTCGTGTCGAAGAATCTATTCAGTGGTGGGATAGAGTAGCCCACGAGTAGCACAGATGTGCCGTTGTCGCGGCTCGAAAGTGCGCGACAATGGCGCTAGGGTCTTACAAAGTCAGCATTTGGCGACTAATCTTAGCATTTGGACGAGTTACGTAGCGCACACATGACACGCAACGTGGATTACGGCGTAGCGGCTAATTCAAATACGCGCGGGTTAGTTGAGCCGTGGAGCAGGCAAGTTCGTACAACTCGTCTGGCCCCGCCCCTTCCTTATTTCAAGGGAATCCTTGTTTAGGGCTTCATCGACGGTTTTCTTTGCTTCTTTTTTTCATTTTTGTCAATTCGGCATCCACAACTTCATTATCAACCACTGCGACCCACCAATTCGATATGAGGTGTTGTTTATAAAATTGAAAAAGAAGATATAGGGTTCAGTACATCTGGTCACACCACTCTACATATGGGCACTGCCTTTCTCCGGTCACCTCTTCACTGGATGTGCATAGCTCACGCCCGAAAAATGAAAGCACTACATAAGGTATTTCTGACTTGTTATTTTTTTGACTCAAGTGCTAAATGACCGAAACGACGTGGACCTTTTTTTAAGAAAGATACTCACCACAGGAGAAACCTCATCGCCACGCTTCTTCTGAGCATTCTTGACCAAACCGCGACGTATTTGGTTCTTAGCCGCTACACGTGTCTCTTCACTTCTTCCATAAAGATTGACACTGTAGCCAGAGGCAAGGCACACCTGAACATGGAGGACTTGGTGAATTGTGTGAAAATCAAGATAATCGCCACAAAGTGCTATACAGGGCGTCAAGGGGACAAAAAATAGGAGTTGCTCTTGCTTTCCATGTAAAACAGAATCAACTGCATTCCGTTAAATTCATACCGAATGATCCGAAATGAAAATTGAAGAGCACATCCCATTCTATCGAAAAACTCCATAACAGCCTCCTACACCGACGACATCAGAATTTGTCACGGAAACATGGTGTAGATCCTCGCCGGATCGTGGACCATTACGACGTTATCTGAGACGCTGGGCAGAAGGGACCTAGCGCGGTCCCAGTTACTGCCTCTAAGAAACTGTCCACAGTGAATCGATTCAAGAAATCAGGTAGCAGCTTCAGGCCTGGAGCAATTACGGTAGCCTCTTTGAGCTAGACGAGCGATGAAAGATGACGTCATAATCTAAAGGGGTAAGGGCAGTGAACGAAGGCTTACGTCTGCTTATGGGGATGAGGAATATGTTGCTGCAAAAATGCCATCAACAGCACCCTGTGAGGCAAAACGTTTGGTGATATGCGTCATGGGCAATGTTCCCCCCCCCCTTCTGAGGTTAGCAGGTAGCAAATGAGTTGGGAACATGGTAACGGTCATGCGTGAGCTTGTGATTTCAGTCTTTTCTATTGCGACCCAGTCACTAAGAATGACTCCTCCATCAACGGCTTTCATACCCTTAATTTATGAAACAGCAAAATGCGTCAGGTGAGATTAAGAAGTTTTGAGCACCACCTTGCAATTAACAGTCTCAAATTGAACTGGTCCTACTTTTGAATATTTCCTTGCACAGAGCCCACTCAAAGCACGAATCTCCCTTTCACAAAGGGAAATGTGGCCTCCTTCCGGGAAAAAAAATGCGCTATCGGCTCCTCTAAACCCACTTGCGCGGCACCGTCTCACCGTATCTCAGCTTTCCATGGTACACCATAGCTTATTTACCTAAGCGGTAAGTGAGAGGCGCTGGTTCGGGTACCGCCTACGGCGAAATCTTTGTTCATGACCCCTTCTTGTGAGACTTACGCAAGATGAACAGCAGTCAGCAATCAAAAACAAATGTTTTCCTATGCGTAATGGAACCGCTGACAAGTTCTTTGTTATCCCTCAATTTATTATATAATTTTTTGAACTTCGAAATCATTTCAAGGAAGCTGTCGATTTGATCGATGATCAGGCAATGAGTGTCGATTTCCTTTGTACGTACGATGGGCGCAAAACAAAATTATTATGTATTGGTCACCCTGAAGAATACGTCACGCTCCGTAGTACCATTCGAGTTTACAGGGACATTCATTTCCTTCACAGTGACGTAAAAGTGAAGTTCTTAATCGCCGCCTTGCAAGAGACGGCTCATAGACTTTAATGGCTGCGAGCCGCTAGAAACTGTGAGCTTTTTCTCAAAGAGCGATAAGAATCGAACCATCCTGGTGCTGCTTTACCGTTCCGAATCGATGAAGTTATTGTGTATAAGAAAGAGTCCGATTCTTGATCAGTGCCTGTCTAATGGCAGATTGAAAGAGCGTTGCTTTAACAGCGAGTGGAGCATTAAACAAGGTCACTGCTCAATGTAATGTACAAATTATGAAAACAAAGGAAATATGAATGAATAAACAATAGTAATAAATAAGAAGTAAAAAATAAGAATAAGAAGGGAAATAAGTAAATAAATAAACAAACAATAAACAATAAAATAAATAAATGTTATGAAATGAAAGAGATAGAAAGTAATTTGATGAGGCCGGAATATTTTGAGGTTTGAAAATTCGCCGAAGACTTCTCATAATGACAATTATCACAACAGTATTGTAGATATTCCTCATAAATGGAATCAATACCGGACCTGTGCGATGCCGCTGCCCATCTGACCGCATCCGATGACGGCAACGACGCCGTTGTCGTGACGGGATGGCTCGGGTGGTGGCTGAGACCATGATATAATGGAAGCTGGGATCCCTGTTCACGGGTTTTATAGACGGCGAGGAAAGCGAACTGCAGTAGAACACTGTTCACGTGAAAAACATCTTCTTATCGAAGCCCATCGAGTCTGCCGATTAGATCGCACCATATGTGTGGTGATTGTGATGGCAATCGCCTAATAAAATCCTCTTCAAAGTCTTAGATAGCAAGCTCCGCAACGAAATTGGAAATGCTAATTCCTGTTATGCTAAAAATTGTATGAGCAAAGATTAGATCTTTAGAAGAGGGCTACGGTCATCGAAAAACAAATGTTGATGGTAACCACTACCGATCCGTCACTGATGAATGTGCTATGAACGTTCCCGAGTGTTTAGTGATTTCCTTATTGTCTTGTGCTAGTGCAGCTTCTTGTGCTTTGCCCTCAGTATTTATTCTAAGAATTTTAGTCTTCTCAAGTCCCAAAAATGGCATTAGTTGCTTGTAAGAATGGTTTGAGTTTACTAGGACCGACTGCCACGCGTCCAAAAGCCAGAGCGACGTAAGCAAACCAGCCCTTTTGGCGTTTCTGCTGGGGCCGTATGCTGAATGTTGGGGAGGGGATGGGTCCCCGACGGTCGACGGACTACTTCAACTCGGTCCTTAAAACCGCCTCAATTTGATGCTTACCTCAGGACTAAGCCTTAAAGAGAGGACGGACCTGCGAGAGAGCGCAGGTCCGTCCTCTCTCCAAGGCTTAGTCCTGGGGTAAGCAAACCAGCCCTTTTGGCGGAGCTAGCTGCACCACTTCGTCACTCTCCTACCGTACCGACCGAGTTGAAGTAGTCCGTCGACCCTCGGGGACCCCATCCCCTCCCCAACATTCAGCATACGGCCCCAGCAGAAACGCCAAAAGGGCTGGTTTGCTTACCTCAGCCAGAGCGGCAAGCTCCCTCCGAATTTTCGGCTCTTTTTAACACCTCATTTGCTATAGTAGCATCCAATACAACAGCATTTGCACTTCCATATTTTCAATAAAGGAAAATAAAGCATTTGCCGTTGATCAATCCCTTTTTGGGATGCGGCACGCATTCTACTTCCATTTGTACATTCGTAGTGGCGTTTGAATGCGATGTGGCCTATACAATGACTTGCGGGGGCCAGCCGATGTACAAGTCAGTGTTTTTATCCTCCCAGACAAGTCTGGTACCAATTAACCCGGAAGGCTTGGTTGGCCCGGGCGACTCACGACCCAGGAGGATTCGATCCCCTGAGCGCGCGTGGTAAGCGTGGCACTTGCCACTACACAACTGCTGCCCTTATTTTTTTCAATAAGATGGTAAAAATTTAGCGCATGAAGTGCTAATCAACTCTTTTGAATTCACTCATTCTTCTTGCACTCATAATAGCGGCTGCATTGGGAATGCACCCTAACTGTAATGCAAAGGAGCTTCGACAGTTTCTTTGGATTCCCTTGGAGCCTTGGTCAGCATTTGCTTTGCCTTGTAGGCAGTGAACTTATGAAATTCGAACTGGTTCAGGATCAGTGACGGTTAAACCTAAGGATGAAAGGTACCCTAGCTATGATGAGAGGGAACCTCAACAGTTTCTTCAGATTACTGGACAGCAATAAAAGTGCCTCAGAAACAACTACACAAACCCCTTTCTTTCGTAACATGTGCAGCACCGTGTACAGTCGGCGTTGACATGGAGAAAAGTGGTCATAAAAAACCTCGGCTGATAGTCTCTGTTTTCGAACCCATTGTCTACAGTATTCTAGAGAAACGAATACCATCTGCAATACTTCCAATGGAAAGGTCACTACCGTTATAGTGTGCCCCATTCATACAATGAGAAATCCGCCATAACTGTAATGAGAGAGAGGCCTCAACATTTCCAGATTCCAGGTGATATTTTCTTCAAAGGTCAGCAGCGCCTTGTGCTCTAACAGGTCAGGTTGGTCAGGGAAGCTCGATTATAATTTGTCCGGTGTATTTACCATTTTGACGGTATAGACCTGCGCAGCAGAATCACAAAGGTTGGCTGTGAAGTTCGTCGTAAAAATCCATACCGCAGTAATTTTACTTTTTTTCACGATCCAGAGTTCCATGATGGTTCCTAATGTTGCGAACTGGACTCGTCATAAAAATCTAGCAGAGAACTCTTGCCCAGCACAGTAGAATCATACGTCCACCGTTTTCCCACGCCATCCTTGCGATGAAAAACCCCATGACTAACTTCAACTCGAAGATAAAGTCGCTTAGTTTTCTCAGTTCTCGCATGCCACTTTTTTTGAGAAGAAACATCATCAGGAAGCTTTCTGAGCGCGAGACAACTTTTAGACAACACTGTGGATACGCTATCGATCGAGGTAACGGAACAAGAAGAATGAAACTTCAAAACTGCGTAAATTATCACTAGCACTTTTATCCAACCTATTATGTTGCACTATGTCGTCAATGATGGTTCTTAGCAACCAAAACGACTACTGCGATCGCAGCTGCTCTTCATTTTTGAAATACTGAATCCTGAAAGAAATCAGCCAGCAACGAGCAATATCTTATCAATTCGAAGCTGACAGTACGTGACATCCTTTTGGTCGTATGCTTTCGTTCTGCAATCATGACTCATCTCGTTTCAGTCGACACTCCCAGTGCACATTAGGTGACGCAATACGGAAAACTCTCACCATTATTACTTATTTCCTCTCCTAACGATAGAGGATAATGGACAAAGCATCTGACATTGATTGATCCCTTCCTAGGATGCGCCACCCATTCTACTTCCATTCAGAGTCGTAGCAAAATGGCATTTTAGATAAGATTTGCCTATGCGACTAGGGAGGCCGACTTATGTTCAGGTCAGTGTTACTATCCTCCCAGGTAGGTCTGATATCTTTTGCCTTCCCAGTAGGAATGGAAGGATTGCTTGCTCCGATAACGTGTGAACCGACACTTGATCCACGGACGGCGCACGTTGTAAGCAACAACACTACACCACTTCCCCGCTACTCTAACGATAAGAGGTAAAACTTAGTTTGCCGCGAGGGATGGATGATGTATGGTGACCCACCTTTGTTACCACATACATTTAACATTTGCACCGCAGTCGGGGCGGAAGTGGTGTAGTGACAAGTGGCGCGCTCACCACGCGAGCGGTCCGGGATCAAATCCTGGGTCGTGAGTCGCCCGGGCCAACCAAGCCTTCCATCCCTCCGGGGTCGGTTAATTGGTACCAGACTTGTCTGGGAGGATAAAAACACTGACTTGTACATCGGCTGGCCCCGCAAGTCATTGTATAGGCCATCGCATTCAAACGCCACTACGAATGTACAAATGGAAGTAGAATGCGTGCCGCATCCCAAAAGGGATTGATCAACGGCAAATGCTTTATTTTTTTTACCGCAGCCAGCCAACTTCCAAGAAGAATCTCGGACACTTGTAAATAAACGAAATCGTGGAACGCAATGAATGTACAAGGAATAATTCGCTATTCTCTCATCCCCACGACAGCTTAGAAACCCATATTTTGTTGCCTTCGACAGCGTATTCAATGGCAGCTTGTGAGAACGATCCCCTCCGTTAGTACGGTAGACTGGTCTGCAACTGAAGAGATTGTTTCGGTTAGACCTAAAAGTGAGCGACAAAGCGGCCAAGGGCTCAAAGGCAGAGTTCGGGATCAAACTGATGTGTCATCCCTTAGTAAGGGACAATGGAGATAAGATGTGTAATGTCAGTAATGGAAGAAGGGAAAGGATCCGTTGAAAAGGACGAAAATAAGCCACTAGCGGCGAAGCCAAATAGCATTTTTCGTGAGTGGGATCAATGCTACATCCTAAGGCTTAACAAGGAAGGTCTTTCAGGGTGTGCCAAGCTTTTTCAAAACGGTCTTTGCATGATATAGAGGCACATGCGGGAACAGAACCATGGTTAATTTTTCCTGAACGGCCCTCTGAATACCAGAAAAGGGGGTCCCTAGTCACACCTTTTTCACCAGTTTTTCAATCAAAGTCTATTTGTAAGGGTTACTGACGTTCCTAATCATGAATTTGGTACTAATTATTCATGCTAACTCCATTTTGCGCGAATTTGGAAACGTCAACTCGAAATGCAAAAATTTGTCACCACGAGGAATCGAACTAGGGACCCCTTTTCTGGTATTCAGAGGGCCGTTCAGGAAAAATGAACCATGCTTCTGGTCCCCATATGTGCCCCAATGTCATGCAAGAAACCATTTTGAAAAAGCTTGGCACACCCTGAACGACCTCCCTTGTTAGCGCTTCGGCCTTGTCGGACCTGTGTACATGCTTTTTCTTCACTACTGATCCTTAATCACTTAGACTAGTTACACATTTGAACCCTATTACCCACGTCCTAATATCATGAAATGTGTCTATATGTATCAGGGCAATATTTGAGAAAGTAGAAGAAGAGAAAGCTGATTGGATTTTTGAGGGGAATCGCCACGGCAGCATTGTGAACATCAAGGCATGTGAAGAGACCGTCACTATGTCACCACGGAAGCGTAGAAGTCCGAAATGACCAATTTCAGGGATAATTTTCCGAAAGAGCGTGTAAACCTGAATCCCAACCCCAAACCGAACGATTATCCTACTATATATAATTCGCTAAGTATGTCTGTGTGTGTGTAGGTCTGTGTGTGTGTTTGTCACGAAATTCGTAGCTCGGGTCACAGCAATGATAGCGCCATGGTTCTTACATATGTTATAGGGGGTGGGATGGGGACAAGTGGTATGTGATAGGAACTGATAACGACTGATAATAGCTGATAAGAGGGGCTAGAAAGCGAGCATCGCCAATTTCGTTTTGTCGTTCATATTGGTACTAGAGCGTCTATACTTACAAGTGTTATGTGGGGTGGTCCCGGACATTGGTGGTACATGATTGGAAGCGATAGCAACTGATAAGGGCTGATAAGGGGCGTCAGAACGCAAAAGTCGTCGATTCCGTTACCTGGCTCGCGTTGACACCAGAGCAACCATACTTACAGTGTTATGTGGGGTGGGACGGGGACATTG